GAGCTGTTTTAGTATGGACAACTGGACAAATCAGTCTTGGAGGAAAAGTAGCTTCTAAGCTTAGAAAAAAGCCTCTTGGGTTATCCTTGTTAATAGCCATCTAGTGCATAATTCAAAGTTTTTTTTGTTTTTTTTTTTAAATATTTTTAAATTATTAGGGTGAGGCAAGACTAGAAGATTATTCGGTTACCTGTGCAAGAGGCAAAGTTTTGCCCAGCTGATGTGAAAACTGTTCTTTGATAAGAATGACTGAGAGAATGAATGGTGGAGACCAGTGGCTGCCATTTTAGGATTTACTTATGGAAAACATCTGCCCAGAAAGCCTCTCAGGCTCTTTGTCGCCCTACCCTTTTGTTTCTTAGCACTGAATGCCTCCCTGTCCCACAGACAGAGAGAAGACTGTCTGGCTTCACCTTTCTTCTCTGGTCATCTGTTTTGCCTTGGTTTTGAAATATGTCTGTGCTGCTGACCACAGAAGTAGAACTTGGCTTCAATTTGAGTTTCATCTTGCAGTGGCTGGTCTCTGTCTGTGGGAGAAACTGGACCCGGGCTTCAAAGCATCAAAGTGATTCACAGCTAATTTTCTTTTTAAGGACCAGGAGGACCATTAGATCATCTAACCTGATTATCTCTGGAGGGCTGGTCAGGGCTTAGTCTGCTGCAAGCCTTCTGCTGGACACAGCCATGGCTGGGGCCCTCCAGCACAGAGAGGCGTGGGAACAGGCAGTGTTTCTGGAGTGCAGGTGTGCTGGAAAATGCTCTAGGTGCATCTTCTTTGTATAAATATATATGTAGAAAAAAAAATAATCAAACTAGTACCCATAAGAAGTCTTGCTTGGATTTCTGAAGGAAATACAGACTTTTGGGTTTGGTTGTGTCTGTCATCTCTGGTTTTGCGTAAAATTCACAGGTGGAGAGATTGTCCTGCCACAATTCAGATTGTGCAAGAAAACATAGCACCTATAACGTGACTGTCCTGGTGCTCATGGACTGTGTCAAGCCACAGACTGGAGTGGAATGTCATGGCCAGGAGAGAGTAAGGTGTTGTGGAGAGAGAGGTGACCCCCATTTGGGGGTGGTTACTGCAAGAGTTCAGGTGAAACTGCTGTGAAGAGATGTGCCTTTGCCCTCGCAGGGCTTATGACCTGTTCAGCACAGAGCTCCCATGGGTCACGCTGTTCCTGACAGTTCCTCTTCAGAACTGTCAGTTTTGTTTGCTTTTATTTTTCTTCCTCTTCTGGATTGGAATTTCCCAATGTAAATGGTCCTATGCCCAAATTGCCCGAAGGTTACCCCTTTCTGTGAAATAAGCAGAGCTGTGTTGGTGGGAGCAGAGCCAAGAGTAGAGGCTTGCATCTTGATTTCCTATGGACTTAGTTCATTAATGAAATGGATGGTGGTAGTGGGTCACTTAACACTTGAGTTTTTTGCAGTTTTTGTCAGTGAGAGGAGACAAAAAGCCCAGCTGCAGCAGCGGTCATGGAAGCTGCAGGTGTGAGCTTGGCTGGAGAATGCCAAACTGCCATCTGTGGTGAGGCTTTGTGGAGATTTCTTTCGCAGGCTATTTGCCTAGAAATGAGACCAAGAATACAAAATAACAGGAGTAACTGAAGATAGCTTTCCTCCAGTTTCTGCCACCTTTCTGGTTAGCCAGAAGTCTGTGAAAGTGTAAGAGCTGAAACTGCATCAGGCTTAAGGGATGAATGTAGGTGGTTCCCTGCCAACATGTTCAGTCTTTTAGGTACTTTCTTCCTGTGTTGCTTTAAGTAGGTTTGTTTTCTGCTGCCTAGAAGATGTGGAAAAACAGAAGTAAAGTTGCAGGTGTTATTTGCATAAAATATATAAAGACAAGAAAAGCAGCAGCATATTGATTGCCTGCTTATGTGGTTAATACCCATTTTTGTGCCTGTGCTCTGACATTTTAAAGCTAGATAAATACAGTAAGTAACCATAAGCATTTAAAAAAAAAGAAAAAGAAAATGTGATGGTTGTCATAATTAAGTCAGTGATGTCCTTCCTGTATGCATTTTAAATTCCTATATTAAATTCCCACTATGCTGTTGAACACTTCTGTCTCTTATGCAGCATGTCTGCTTGTTTACAAAATGCCTTGGAGCTGCATGGATTCCCTCGCACTGTGTGCAGAGTGGTGTGTAACAGCTAGGCATGTGTTGTTCTGACCAGGGAGATGTGCTTGGAGCTGTGCTTTGGATTGCACAAATAACAGTTTCCAGGAATGGTCATGAGAATCAGCAGGAGGAGCTTTGAAGAGTGCGTGGGTGCAGCATGATCTTTGGCTGAGGGGAAGCCCTTCGCTGGTGGCTGGGGGAGCTGAAGATACTCTGAAATGCAGAGCCTGAGCAGTTACTTTCCCAAACAGCTTCCTGGAATAAGAGAGAAGGAATCTAAGCATGCTGTGTCTCCTCCCTTTTCCTCCTGATTTGCACTACAAGGAGTTAGGCAGTGAGGAAAGTGGTTCTCTTTTAAAGTTGAAAACATTTGCATAGGTTACATTCACAGCTGCCTACTTCTGAGACTTTTTTTTTTTTTTGGAAGTGGAGGCTTTAAGCAGCTGGAAGACCAGAAATGCAGCACAATGCATTAGCAACTGTATTTGTCATTCTCATCTAGAGAGAAAATGTGCTGATTACATTAATTTCTTTTTTTAGCTGGAGAGAAATGAGATGCTGGTCTTTATTCAGCTAGCTTTGTGTATTTGCAAATGGCAATTTCAACTATCTGGGCAAAAGTGATGGGCACTTAACAATAAAAAGAAGTTAATATCTCACTATCTCTTCATAGAGTTGATTGACTAGTCTTTTCATAACAATGAAATTTACATATTTATGAGCTGGTCTTAGAGTTTGGGTAATTTTTTTATTGCATTAAATTTATTTATATCAACTACTGCTAGATGATTTTTCTTTTGGTAGAGGCTGAGAGATCTTCTATTTGACAAGACTTGAAAGAATTAACAGATGATTTTGCAACATCTATCCAGCAGCTTGTTACTTGGAATTTTGATTTGCAATCTAGAGCACTTCAACTGGATGTGTCCACTACATCAGGAGTAAACAGTTTTATCTTTTACAGATTTGCTAGTGCTTCTATGCAGCTGCCAGACTGCCAGAGAATACTTCTGTTATATCACATTTACAATAATATCTTAAGGTGACTTATTTTTCCTGCATACCAGTCTCCTAGTTATTCTCTTTAGAGCCTGTCTTTGAGTGGTAAGCGTCATATTTTCGGTGTTAAAGTGGTAATAGCTTCAGTGGTAGACCTCTGGTTTATATCCAATTCCTGTGACCTGAGCAATTAGTCTGTACCACAGGCTGCTACCTTCAAGTGTCTTCCATCAAACATTCCCAAGGGGTCATAAATCTACAGGTGGTCTGACCTGGCATCTGCTGTAAAGGGACTGAAAATGAGCTATTCTGAGGCTTCATTGAAAACTTGCTCCTGCAAGTTAGCTGATGGAAATGACCAGTGTGGTGCCTTCATGGATCTGCTGGATTAATTACTATAATAGGCAGAAAAAAGTGGTAGACCAAGACAGTGCGTAAAACGGGGAGGATTGCAACACACTCATTATCCAGCTGTTGTCTTTCTCTATGTGCAGGGTTGAGGAGACAAGTAGGAAGTATGATCCCCCTCCATAATAAGCTGCTTCTGGCATTCAGGGATCTCTTTGGCAGTAAAATGTGGCCATCCTAGTGATTAGAGGAGCTGGTTGGTAAAAGATGGAATTGCACAGGTCTACAGAGGTTTATGTCTCTGGACTGAGGCTCAGTGTTTTACTTCAAAATGGCATGTTCTACAGAAAGTGTTAGTGCTAGACCCATACATCTTCCCTGCTTTGAGCTTTGTCAAGGCACTGATCTTGTCAGTTGCTAAATGTCCTGAAAACAAGATGAGGCTTAGACTATTCAGAGCTGGATGAGTGCCATGGAAGCTGAGTGACAATGCAATTGCAGGTGAGTAGCTGCAGGTTAATAGTTAACAGTATGTTTAATGAACTTTCTGATTGCAAGACCTGTGAAACATTGGAATTGCATTCTCAGCATTGTGTGTTGCTGGGCTTGTCTTGGAGGAAGGAAAAACTCATGTGCCTGGTACCATCAAAATAACAGCTTGAGAACCTTTCACTCTTCCAATTCCTGAGACATTTACACCACTGAAGTAATCAAAAGCATAAGAATTTAGTCCAGAACATTATTTCCTTTAATCCATGACTTCTAAAGCATTACTGTTTTGTTTCTGTTAGTGCAATGCAGAGCACATGTCTTGCAGTTTTTGAGTAGTTCTTACTGGTACGACCATCTCTAATAGCTCAGACATACTTCATTCAAATCAGAATATACAGGGGCCTGTTTATAAACCCTCAGAGCCAGGTTTATGCCATAGACACTGACTGAGGCTACTTGTTAATTGTGAGAGTGGACTGGATATTTAGCTCTTAATTTCTATGAACAGGGTTTTTCTTAGCTAACCTCATTTGAGTGGAAGTGGGAGATTGGGGGAGGAAAAAGGAATTGGGAGAGTGTTCATATTTATTGGACAAATATTTTTCAAAACCCTTAAAGTTATGTGCTTTAAATTATACACTAGAATGCACATATATAAGGTGCATTTTTGTATTTGCTGGAATAAACATGGATGGCTGTGACCCTTTGAGATGAATATTGCTATCCTAAATTTAGCACTTCTTAATTAAGGAACCTCCCTTGCTAATTTTTACCACTGAGTGGAATAAGGGCTATTCATCATACATTTTGATCTTTGTCCTTGGATGTTGTATGTTTTTCAGTTGGTGGAAAATAGAATTTTCATGTATGCAAAGGAGATAGTAATGTGGTATGTAAATGAAAAATTACAGGAAGGGAAACTTTTGGTTGCTTTATAATGTATTTTCCCCATAAACATTATTGGCAGAAGGTATTGCAAATTTATAGCTACAAGAATGAATTTTACTACACCCTCTTTGGCATATGTGCAAGTTGTTTTATGGCACAGCAAGTCAATTTCCTGGACCTACTAATATCTTCACTCTTATAGAGGACAGAATCATACAATCATTTAAGCAGGAAATTACCTAGGATAATCTAGTCTAACCATAATGTTCAGGTTTTGTTTAAATTTTTATCTCTCTTGAGTTCTGAAGATAGGATGTGTTGTTTAAAAGTGACATTGCTTGGTTTAAAAATAAAACAAACCTTCAACAAAATAACATGCAGATAACATATAACATACAAGTCAAAATCAAGGCACTTTGCTAATTCAGAGAGGATTTGTTCCTGCATATTAAACAAGCTGAGAACAGGGGAAAGATAACTTGTTTTTCAGCTTGTTTATTTTATTGTTGTTGGCTTCAGAATCTCCTCAGACAAATGATGGTCAGACAAAATATAATGTAAGTATTTAAGTGAATAAACAATCTGCCCCAGTAATAACAAAGCATAGCCCATCACTTCCATAATTGTAGTGCTGTAACTTGAGGTGCAAAAAGAGATTTTTTTCCCCTTACACTCATTCTACACTTCTTTTTCCAAATCTATGAACTGATAGAGCACATCTGTGCTACTTGAGAACAAAAAACTATGAAGTCATAGTCCCATAAATAGCTTGTAGGATGAAAATGCTGAAGACAGCCTTCTTTTCATCTCCTGTGGGTCTCTTGTACGGGACTCTGGAATCTTGGCTTTGATTCTTCATGCAGAGTCTTCACAATATCCCCATCTGGGCTATGAATGTAGCTGAGAACAGATCTGCTTTAGATCTTCGTGGCTAATAATAACTTCAAGAAACAAATGCTTCTAGCAGAAGAATGTTTGTGTGGTCTCTAAAACAGACCAAGTTAAGACAAAAAGGAGAATCCAGAGCATCCAAATAGCATTGAACTGGTATCAGATACCAGAGTTGTACAAACAATTCTCTCAATTGACAAAAAATTTATTTTTTAACTTCTTGATAAATCCTGTGTCACAGTGAAAATGCCTCTCATCTTTCTTCTGTGATATTTGCATATTCTCCCAGATAATCTGCATTGTATTCAGTAGAGTGTCTATTTAAAACACAGCATTTTGCATAGCTTATTGTTTCATTTTTTGTAATAACATACTAGGTCCTTTTCACTAGCATATGTTTTTAATCATATTTTCTTGGGAGCAGGATGTTATGTATTTAAATATCGCTGTTCAGTCTTTCTTAATAACTGGTAAAAGATCAATCTGGTTTTAACTGCTGATTACTTTGACTACACCTGCATCTTGTAAAAATACCTGCAATACCTTAAATATGACTACATCAGGCACAGGAAAGACATCATAATTTAAATATTTGAGTAAACATATCAAACACATTTTGGATGGGAGGAAGAGAAAATTGATGGTTGGACATCTTTATTTTTAAATGTCATGAGGGTTGTGCTTTGTTGTGAAATAGTGTCTAAAAATGAGAGGAAGAAAAGAGATTGGCAACGTTTCCTCATTCTTCTGAAAGGAAGCAGCATCACACAGCTGACCTGGGAACGTGTGCCAAGAGATGACATGAGCGTCTCGGATTCATGCGAATGTTACTGTGGTCTTTGCAGTGTCTGAGGAGGTAGGGTGAGGCTGGGAGGAGGATCTCAGGATTTCCAGTGTTTGAATAGAATAGGAAACAAGATTCAAGTGAACTTTTGAATGAAAGTTGAAAGAAGTCAAGGTGACAGCAACCTCACTGCAGGTTTCAAAACTAACTTGCCTTGAGTGTGAAGTTCATCCTGGGTGCCTGAAAGAAGCAAAAAAAGATCTGGTTGGATTTGAATGTTTTACACTTCCACAGTTGTGGGGTAGGGGTTTTTTTTTCTTTGTTTGGTTGGGTTTTTTTAATTGCAAGAGAAGGAACACTGGAATAGGCAATGCTTACAATGGCCTGAGGTATTTAAAATCACACAGTCCCATCAACACTGAAAGCAGGCGAGTTTGACAGTAAATTCATAGCTTCAAATTCGTGGAAGTTCATGTGCATCGTTAGAGGCTTGGGGAAGGGTGGCTTGAGAGCTGCTCAGCAGAACAGGACCTGGGGGTGCTGGCTGGCAGCAGCTAAACATGAGGCAGTGTGTGCCCAGGTGACCAAGAAGGCCAGTGGCATCCTGGCCTGGATCAGGAACAGTGTGGCCAGCAGGACCATGGCAGAGATTGTCCCCCTGTGCTCAGCACTGGTGAGGCCACACCTTGAGTGCTGTGTCCAGTTCTGGGCCCCTCAGGTCAGAAAGAATATGAAGCTGCTGCCGTGTGCCCAGAGAAGGGCTATGGAGCTGGTGAAGGGTCTGGAGAACAAGTCTTATGAGAAGTGGCTGAGGGAGCTGGTAGTGTTTAGTCTGGACAAAAGGAGGCTCAGGGGACCTCACTGTCTCTGTAGATGGAAGGAGGTTGTAGTGAGATGGGGGTTGGTCTCTTCTGCCATGTCTCAGGTGAAAGGATATGGGGAAATGGCCTTAAATTGTGACAGGAATGGTTCAGATTCCATTTTTTCTCTCTAAGAGTGGTCAGACATTGGAATAAATAACCCAGGGAGGATGTGAAGTCATCATCTGGAAGTACTCAAGAGCCATCAGGGTGTGACACCTGGGGTTGGTTTAGGGGTGGTTGTGGTGGTGCTGGTTGGCAGTTGGAGCACATGATCTTGAAGGTCTCTCCAACTTTGATGATTCTGTGAAAATCAAGCCTGGCTCAGTTGGTTCACATGTGTTTTTAAAAAGCCTAATAAGTAAAGATTTAAAATTCAAGCCTTGACATGCCTTTTCCTAGGTTATGCATGAGTGGATGTAGTTCACTGCACAGGAGATCTGGCCTTACTAAGTCCCTCTTTGCGAGCATGCCTTGGTGCTGCACCTATGTTTGCTGGTGCCATTTTTAGCAATAAATGACAATCCAAAAAGCAGCATGAGTGCCCAGTATAACATCTTGTATCTTTAGTCTTTGGAGGAAATGCTGTAATTTAGTCTTTGTGGAAGTAAAATGTAAATATGTAATTGTGTAATTAAAACTACGCAAATTTTTTTGACTTCTCATTCCCCACATCCACACAACGGTAAAAGCTCAAAACTATCAACATTTTAAACAGGAGGAAGAGAGGGATTCAAAAGTTTCATATAACCTCATGTGGGGATGGAAGAAGTAAGAGTTAAAAAATTATGTGAATTTAGTGGTAACAGGTTTTTTAAAGAATTAAATGGCTTGTTTGTTCTGCCTTACTCATTTAATTACAGCAGTGTATTAAACTTATTTGCAGTGAAATAACCAGTAACAGACATGTTTAGGTTACATTTTTTCCAGAGACAAGTCCCTGCAAAAAAGTGCATTTGCTATATTTGCACACCCATGTAGGTATAATAGGTGTCTGCTTTTAGTTTTGAATATTTGTTGAACAACCAAAAATAGGTTTCTGGAGTCTCTGACACATCTGAAAACCAGAGTTTGAAGGGCAGGCCAAGGTTCACATCAGCCATGCACGGCAGTGTATTTGTTACCATACTGTATGACAAAGAATAAAAATTTTGGGGATTACTTTGGATGCTTCCCAGACATGTAAAATGAATGTTCAATCCTTCTACTTAGATGTAAATGCAATTTATAAGTCCCCATAGAACTTGGTCTCTTCCCAGCCTCCCCCTCAATATTCTGTTGTGTCTGGAAGCCTTGGTATTTCAGTGAAGGGGAACTTTGGCATTTGAGGTAGCTGATTTTCAGCTTCATATACATTTTATCCAAACTAAGGTAATGCTGAGGTGGCACAGTTAGTATTAAGAAGCGGGGGATTAGGGTGCAGTTGAGATTTCGCTGTCATTATCCATTTTCACATGTTGCAGCCAGAAATGTTTTTGCTTTCTCTGCCAAGAAGCAGATTAGTTTATGTTGCTCCAATTATGGAATTAAATTTTCCATTTTAAATACTGCATAAGAAAGTTGTTTCACAGTCAGGAAAACTTTCTTCCAAAGTATTTCAAATCTCTTTCCCACAGAAAGAGAATGGGAATCAAGTAGATATTAAAACAAGCAGAATCTAAATAATTATTCAGGCATAATTAGTCACCCAAGCCTCAAATAGAAAGCCACTTGGAAGCTTACATTTTCTTATTTAATTCTCAAGCCAAACAAGTGTCTACAACTAGCATTAGTTACGGAATTTAGAACTGTTTTTTCACTGCCATAAAAAGGTACACTTGATAACCATTGATACAGTTGTAACTATTCCAGTAGTAGTTTACTAAAAAAAAACACCCAGGCCTTCCCCCCCCCCCCCCCCCCCCCCC